GCTCCACATTGTGTTATCTCTGACTCCAGCATTTGCAGTTCTTGCTATCTCCAGCTGAGTCTAGCTGCTTTTATCCATGGCCCTCCAGCACAGGCTGCAGTGCCCTATTACTGAGAGAGACACTCAAACAAAATTGAAATGTTTCTGATTCGCCATGAGCTCTGTGCTCTTGTGGAACACATATCAGTCTCTGCTGTGTCTCCACATGTGACAGTTACTTTCATATACACTCATGGGATGTGGGCATCAGTAGCTGGGCCCAGCAGTCATTGCCCATCCCTAGCTGCCCTGGAGAAGGTGATAGTGAGCTGCCTTCTTGGACCTGCAGTCCAGTGGACATGCTGTGTTTATTGAGTTGGGATGGAAAGTCTCCAATCATCAGCTCCTAACACAAGCTGCAGGATGGGGTCTTGATTAGGAACCAGACACTCATGAAATAACCTTGTCCCCAGACAAAGCCCCTTTTGCCCAATTCTCCCTGATGGAACAGTCTTTCTGAACCTCTGGGATAAGAGAGATAAAAATCAATTCCATTTAGAAACACTTGTTTTTTTTTTCTTTTTTTTTCTGAAGAAGGGTGTAGGCCCGAAACGTCAGCCTTCCTGCTCCTCTGATGCTGCTTGGCCTGCTGTGTTCATCCAGCTCTACACCTTGTTAACTCTTAATTGACTCATCAGTACAGGCAAATTGCAGTCCCTTTGTTGAAATTAGCTAAATCAGCAACAAGGAGAAAACTTAAAAGAATTCCACAGAACGCCATGTTCCATGAGAAAAATACTTAATCTGTTCAGCTGCAAAATATGTGACATATGTTATACCTTCCTTATTTTAAATAAAAGAGGCACTACATTGTTGTGGTGATTTAGGACCTGGTGCATGACATTGGGGACTGAGCTGCATCTGCAGTTTCCCATTGACCCTGACGGTTATGTACAACCATGGCTTGTTAATATCATATTTTGAGAATGATTTGAGCTGAGTAGATGAGTAGGTTGGAGAGGGGTCATTGAAAACTCTTGGGTTCGATATAATGAAATTGGTGAAAGGCAGAGTGTGATCATTTGGTTCCTGTATTCTGTGCTTGGCTGCTTTGGTTTGCTATTTCTCTGTATATACCAGCACTTTTCTCTAAAATAAAAATATCAAGTTTAAAAAAAAAGACCATTAGATCCCTTTCCAATTTCTTTCTATCCTGATTAGATGGAACACTTGATGCTCACCAAAAATCATAATCCAACATTTGGAGCCAGACTATTCATCAGTTTAATTTCTGTAGCAGTTGTATTAAAGAGATAGCACTTGAGCTGGGAACTACGAAAGGGGTTATATCCCAAGTGTTAAGAGGATGAAGCCACCACATATCTATTAATAAATGACAAGAGGGTAGAAATTCCAACTGGCAATTTTCCTGTGCATATGCTGTACAGATTTATACTGCTTTATGCTGCTTTACTTTTAAATGTGGCTTAAACCAAATTATTGCTTCAGGTCAATGTTGTACAAGAAACATACATTATACCATATGAATGCATTAATTATTCAGACATAAACGTTACTAATCAAAATTTTTACCTTTTCTGTCATTACTGGAAATAAAGATAGATAATGTCTTAACTTCCGAAAATGAGAAATTTTCTCAGAATTTTTTCCTTGCTCTACCTGAGACTGTCAAACTCCTTTCAATCTTTCCTCAATGTTGCAATTCTCAAAGCAAATCAGCTCCAGCCCCTGACACAGGTTTGAAGAAAGTTAACAAATTGTCATGTTCCAGCAAGATGTTAATTTGGTTGATTGTTCACTTATAGTTTCCTGGTATTATTCCACGAGGTCTGATAAGAGATTAGTACGGCTGATCAGACCTGGGTGTCTGAACTCTGAAGAATATCCTAGTATGTTCTGCTAAATTTCAATTTGTTGGACTTTATATAGTAATCATTGTGGCCAGTAAAACTTGGATTAACTTTGTTTTTTATCCAATTGATGAATCAAACCCATATGGTGGCTTTAAATCTAGAATCCAGGGATATTGAAAGATAAACTGATTGAAAGAAGCCCTGGTATAAATAGGCTGACTAGGAGGCAATATCACTTTAAAATGCGTTAGAAGTATGTTATTGAGCAGTGTTGTGCACAAGCATTATGGTAATTGCCCTCTTTTGCATAATGGTGGACTGGCCAAACATTTGTTTGAATGTGTCATAGAGTCATAGAATGATACAGCACAGAAACAGACCCTTCGGTCCAACTAGTCTATGCTGAATATAATCCCAATCTAAACTAATGCCATCTGCCTGCTCCTGGGCCATGTCCCTCCAAACCTTTCCTATTCATTTACTTATCCAAATGTCTTTTAAATGTTGTAATTGTGCCCATATTCACCACTTCCTCAGGATGTTAATTCCACATGCAAACCATGTGTAAAAAGATTTGCCCCTCATGTCTTTTTTAAATCTCCCTCCTCTCACCTTAAAAATGTACCCCCCTAGTATTGAAATCCCCCAAACTAGGAAAAAGCCAACTACCATTAACCCTGCCGACAGCCCTCATGATTTTATAAACTTGTCTATAAGGTCACCTCTCAATCTCTTAAGCTGCAGTGAAAAAAGTCCCAGCCTATGTAGCCTTTCTTTATAACTCAAACTTTCGATACCTGGCAACATCCTGGTAAATCACTTCTGAACCCTCTCCAGCTTAATAATATCCTTCCCATAACTGGGCAACCAGAACTGGACACAGTACTCCAGAAGAGGCCTGAACAACCTCAACATGACTTCCGAAGTCCTATACTTAAAGGACTGAGTAATGAAGGCAAGCGTGCCAAACACCTTT